ATATTTACTGTGATGATGCCTAGGTTGCTTCCATCTTGAATTACCTAGAATTGAGTTGGTGATGAACAATATTTTAAATTGGCTACCAGTTCAAAAGTTTTGAAATTAATATAAAAAAAATAGTGAAGTTTGATTTGACTTCATTGAACTCATTCTTTTGCAAAATTGAAACCAAATGTTAGAATATTAAATAGAATCATTTTAACTTGCTTGTAACAATAATGGATAACTAGACATCCTGATGTTTTTTGTCGCTGGTGTTTATTGTAATAATAATTCTCAAACTTTTATTTAAACAGGTGTGATTGTTACTGATAATAATATTGCCGTAGAAGATGGCACAGTTCTGAAAGAGAATAATCCGAATAATCCAATCAGCCTAGACATATCGTATGATTCATTGGTGTCTGGCTCTACGATATTTGGCAACAAGTTGTGGGATCTTAGTCTATCTGGTAACACTAGACCTGACGGGACTGGAGACGCCATTCTGATTGATGATCAGGCATTGACAAGTTCTCAAAGAGATATTCCATTTGCCGCTGGTACAACCATGACATTCTCAGATGTGCAAGTTAACGTAGACCTCACTGGGAAGAAATGTGCAGAGATACCATACATTTGTGCAACTCTTTCCAAAGGAAGAAGCCCAAGTCGAGATTTTACTTTATCTGGCTTACCAGATGAAAGCGTGTTCACTGCTTGTACTGATTACATAGCTTGTGAAAGTGAGTACTTACTTTTTTATTATCATACTTATTTTTAGACCACCTGATGTAGAGTGCTGATTGATCAATCATTATTACAGATTTTCTCATTGCCATACTCATTCTGAAACCACCTGGTATACAATTCTGATTAACCAATAATTATAGCAGATTCTCCATGAACATATTCATACTGAGATTATTTGTTATACAATGCTGATTTAACCAATCATTATTACAGATTTTCTCATTCCCATACTGATCCTGAGACCACCTGGTATACAATGTTGATTGAGCAATTGATATAGCAGATTTCCATTACCACACTCATTCTCAGATTACATATACCAGTTCAACTATGCTGATTGATCCATCAATAATATGCATTATTTCACAGCTACATTACCATATTCACTTATACAATGCTGATTTAACCAATCATTATTACAGATTTTCTCATTCCCATACTGATCCTGAGACCACCTGGTATACAATGCTGATTGACCAATCATTACAGATTTTCTCATCACCTTACTCATTCTGGAACCACCTGGTATACAATGCTGAATACAATGAAATTATTATTACATATTCATTATCATACCCTAATGAGACCACCTGATGTCCAATTTATGCCAATTGACCAGTAATTATTACATTTTTCTTATTGCCATACTCATTTTTAGACCACCTGATGTAGAGAGGTGATTAACCAATCAATATGACAGATTTTCTTATTGCCATACTCATCCTAAGACCACCTCATGTACAGTGCTGATTGTCCAATCATTATTACAGATTTTCTCATTGTCATATTCATTCTGAGACCACCTGATGTAGAGTGCTGATTGATCAATCATTATTACAGATTTTCTCATTGTCATACTCATTCTGAAACCACCTGGTATACAATACTGATTAACCAATAATTATAGTAGATTCTCCATGACCATATTTATACTGAGATTACAATGCTGATTTAACCAATCATTATTACAGATTTTCTCATTACCATACTGACCCTGAGACCACCTGGTATACAATGTTGATTGAGCAATCGATACAACAGACTTTCTCATTCCCATACTCATTCTGAGACACCCTGGTGTACAATGTTGATTGAGCAATCGATACAACAGATTTTCTCATTACCATACTGACCCTGAGACAACCTGGTGTACAATGTTGATTGAGCAATCAATACAACAGACAATCATATATATAAAGCTGATTGATCAATTATTATTACAGATTTCCATTACCACACTCATTCTCAGATTACATATACCAGTTCAACTATGCTGATTGATCCATCAATAATATGCATTATTTCACAGCTATCATTTTGAATGTTGATATCCTTGTATTGAAATTTGTCCTTTCATCTACACAACTCACTGTTGGCTCAATGTGTGATTTACCTAGTTCAGTGAATTAATCTACCTTCACTGACTATCACTGATTTTAATCCATCTTCACCAATATCCTTTGGTTGTCAATACCTTCATGTATACTCATTTCAAAACAAGTGATGTTCTCTCTGAAACTTGTGTACTGATTTTGTATTTACTGACATCATTACTCATTGCCACTTGATACCTTCACTCATTTCAAACAAGTGATGTTCTCTCTGAAACTTGTGTACTGATTTTGTATTTACTGACATCATTACTCATTGCTACTTGATACCTTCACTCATTTCAAACAAGTGATTATCTCTCTGAAGCCAGTGTACAGATTTCCCCATCACCATTACCCATTGGTATTAAATTAGTAATTATTGTACCCAATATGACTTTTCACTAAAACTTTGTCATGTTTTCATCACATTTTCAACCCTCAATAATCATGGCACTTCAATACTTTCAGTAGAAGCTTTAATAGGTGGTTGACTGTAGACCATTATATTCTTCTGAGATTGTGTCATTGAAAATATTGAACTATCAAGTTATAATTAATAAGCACATATTAACTCAAATAAGAATCCCTTTTAATGATAGTAATATTAAACCATAACAATAATTAACATATCTTTATACATTCAACTGATTGTGTTGCTTATAAACAAATATACAGAATGTTTAAAGAAGTACAAAACTCAGCTAATATTAGAATTCAGTAGTGTATACAAACCCCAATAATAAAATAAAGTCCCTAACATTTTTATAATCAAATTTTTACTTATAATGAAGCTGGTGTATAGTCTTTGATTTTTGTTCAATATTTTTTAATCTTGGTCAGTGTATAACCTCAACCAATTTTTTTTTTTTTACAATTTTGTTTCCTATTTATAGCTGGATGCCCCGATCCAAGGGCAGCCATTGCTGGCCATGTAAAAGTTCCTGAAAAATCTTTTTACTCAAATGATGATGTATTCATTGTTTGTGAAGAGGGCTATATGCTCAATGGCGTTTTGAACCTCATTTGTAATAGTGATGGTACATGGTCAGATCCCTTGCCAACCTGTGATAAGCGTACGTACTATTTTATAATGCCGATTATTTATTTTAATTTTTTTAAATAAAATTCTGCCGTTTTGTGAATGTTAATTGTCCATGCTGACTTTGATGAGGTTAAAAAATAAAATCCATTAAAAATACGGTAAATAGTGAAACAATCTTACAACATTTCTTCACCATTATAGTTGAATGTCCCGACCCACGACAAGGAATACCTGGACATATTGTTGTTCCTAAAGAAACATTTCATGCTGGTGACAGGATAGACTTTACATGTGATTCTGGCTACCAACTTGTTGGTAGTCCAATATTAACTTGTAATGATGATGGTACATTGTCTGGAGAACCACCAGTCTGTGACAAGAGTAGGTGAACTGTTGTTACTGATTTCTGTCTTGAATAACATCTTTTTTGTAATTATTAATAAAAAAATCAGTAAATTAACAGTGTTAATAATGCTTTCAATAATAAATGAATACTAAATAATAATTAATAAACTTCTGTAGTTAAAAATGGAATTCCAATAATGTTGTGATTTAACACACCAGCTAGATAATGAATTGCACTTTCTTGTACATTACTTACTTTATACATGTGACCTGTTATAGTGCTATATATACCTATCTGAACAGGATTATTATTATTACACATTTGAGTGTTACATGTTACTGTTTTAGTACTAATTACCTTCCTGAACAGGACTACTAGCACTTTACACATGTCAGTGTAATATCACTAATGATTTGTTTGAAAGGGCTTCAAATACTTTACATATGTGACCACAGAGAGCACAGCCACTATAATCGACTGTAGCAGTCCCTATGAGCGAGGTGAGGGGGGGGGGGTTGTATCGGCTGGTATCTAGTTTAACAAATAGACAAGGGATGAAGGCTCCAATCAGCTCACATTTTTCAAACTGGAAAAAAGAGAAAAAAAAATAAAGAATAAAATCTATGAATAATACCCTCTTGAAGAATATTAGTTGCTCTTTCAACTTTCGCCAAGGCCTGACCTATATGCTATCTGCAGACTAAATCAAGAAAACTACACAAATTGGCTATATTTATGAACAATTAACGGTTACACAGAAAGCAAAACACAGTTGGAGGCGTGGCCTGTTCAGAATGTGTGAAGAACCAATCACAAGACTGGTTACAACCCACTGCGAGTTCACGACACGGTTAGCCTCGCTCAAGAACAACAGTTTGAAATTACATTTGCCCCCAA